TTTCTTGAGTAAGAAAGATTCAGAATGGTTCTCTCAGAAATCTAAGCGCTGCAGACAAATAGCAATAGCAGGATGAGGATGTATGCTCAGCATTCCTATAAGTAGCAACTTGGATTGCTCTGATATTATAAAATAGAGCATTCAGATATTGAAAGAAAAGCTTAATAATAATACTCTTCAATGTTTTTCATTGCTTATACTAAGCACTATAATTAGGAATATGAATAAGGAATAATACTCTCTTAGCTACTGATATAAATATCTAAACAATATAGAGAATGCTTCTCAAGCAATAGAAGAATCAAGCTAGAGCAAACAATCTAGCAGCTTGCAGAAGCTTCCTGCAAACAATATACTTAACAAGCTTACAGAAAGATTTCCTTCTAGCATTGAGTAGAATAAGGAAACAATATAAGTTAAATATTTCGTTTATAAGATAGAGCTAGAAAAGCTCTTCATCTGCATTCCCTTGCAAAACATTGAAATATAAGAAGATAAGGATTCTCGGATTAGCTTACTTTACAATCTATATTACAAATTAGCTTAGATTTCCTATATCTATTATAGCTGTAGAATGTATTTCTTAGACAAGATGCAATACGAATAGTTCTCTATTAGAGAACTAAAATAAATTCTTTAAGCTGTTGAAGAATAGGAATTCTGCTTCAGAGAGATTCTCGATAGATAGCATTACAATATATATATCGGATTATCAGATAACTGCTCTATGCAATATATAAATAAGGAAATAAAGTAGTAGCAGTGCAAGATAATACTCTGTATGATTTATATTAATAACAAAGTTTGTAACTAGCATTAATAGAAGAAAGACTAGGAATAATAATAATACAAGCAAAAGCAAGCTAAGAAGCTTGCTTAGGAAGCAGCAAAGCAGGCTTAGAAGAACAGATAGTTCTTGATGAATTCAAAAGAATAGAATTGCTTATAAAGGAACTGCAGATGATTAGACTGAAATAGTTTCTATATGAAGCTTTCAAGACAAATTATGCTTATATCAAGTTTAATATATACATTCAAGGATACAAATACAGTGCACTATTGAATAGTAGCATTCAGAGAAACTTTATATTCCTATGCATTATTAATCAGATATGACTACAATGGAAATAGAAGAAGCGCTCATATATCCTCAGCATTGTAAAAGAATAATCTATTGCATACAATCAAAGAGTAATCAATAAGGAAACTGATTATCTATTTATCTTGATCTAAGAATATATAATCAGAGCTTTCTTTGATATCACAGATATAGTATAGCATAAGCTAATTATGAAGCTTCTATAGCTCAAGAAGCACAATTCTCGAATTGATTGAACTACTAGCTAGATCTTATAGGAACAAGCTGTATTCAGAGAGATAATTACAATCAATAGCACAGAATTGAAGCTAGTGATTGAAGAATACTTAGGAAAAGAAGCTTTATACAACTTTATACATATCTTTAAGTTAGCAGAGCTGGCAGTTCAAGAAGAAGAATCTAGTAATAAGCGAATCCAAATAATGCTAGAGCGCTAATAGATTAGCAAAACAACGGAAGCAAGATTCTCAGCAAGTTAATTCGCTCCGGAGCGATAAGAAAAAGCTTCAGAATGTAGATTGTGGAACTATACAGGAAAAACTTCGAAACTAAGCTCTCGAGCACTCGCTCCAGCCTGGAGCGAACGCTCAAGGCTCTCGAAAATGCTATCAGAAAAGAAGCATGCTTAACAGTACCTACTATTCCTCCAGATAGCAGAAACAGCATAAGAACCAGAACCAATACTTGCAAATATACTACAAGAATATTATAAGTTCGAGAAACTATTCTAGAAAGAATTGGATATAAGATTATCAGAATATAGTTCATACAATTACAAGATTCTGCTACAAGAAGAAAAATAACTCAAATTCTTCCCTATTTACAAACTAAACAAAGTATAGCTAGAAGCACTTAGGAAGTATCTTAATAAGAATCTTAAAAAAGAATATATATAATTATTGTAATTATTAGCAGAATATCTCATTCTATTTATATTCAAAAAGAATAGCAAGCTCAGGCTATATATTGATTATAAGCAATTCAATGATATTATAATCAAGAATTAATATTTATTGCTACTTATTAAGAAATTATGAAATAGATTACAAGAAGTACAGTAGTTCATAGTTCTGAATCTAAAAGGAGCTTATAACTTAATTAGAGTAAAGAAAGAAGAAGAATGGAAAACTGCTTTCAGAATATGCTATAAATACTACAAATATTTGATTATGCTCTTTAGTTTAACGAATACTCCAGCTTCGTTCCAGAAGATAATTAATTACATTTTATGCAAGCATCTGAATCAGTTTATCATTATCTATCTTAATAATATTCTGATTTACTCTCAGATATTGGAAGAATACAAGAAATACGTAGAAACAGTATTGCAAATGCTTCAGAATACAAAGCTTCTTATAAAACCTACAAAAAGCTACTTTTATATACAAAAAGTTAACTATCTCAGATTTACAATTAAGCTAGAATGCATCAAGCTACAGAAGGATAAGATAGAAGCTATCAGAAACTAGCTAATTCCCAAAAACGTTAGAGATATTAAATCTTTCCTTGAATATATCAACTTCTATAAGCAGTTCATCAAGAACTACAGCTGAATTGTATACCTTCTTACAAATCTTATCAAAAAGAATCAACTCTTCGAATAAACCTCCAGAGCACAGAAAGCTTTTAATGAAATTATTAAATATATCATTTCAGAGCTAATTCTGTATAAAGCAGATCCTTACAAACCCTTTGAAGTTAAAACCAATACATCAGAATATATACTTGGGAAACAACTTAGCTAGCGAGATAATTAAGAGCATCTAAGAATTATAAGCAACTTCTCAAAGAAGTTGAATAGCTTAGAAATCAATTACAGAATTCCTAATCAGGAATTTATAGCAATAGTAAAAGCCTTCGAGAAGTAGCAATACTATCTTATTAGCATACAATACTCGATTATAATTCATTTGAATTACAAGAATCTAACTACATTCATAACAACTAAGATTTTAAATAAGCAACAAATTAGATAAGCAGAATTCCTCTTACAATTCAATTTTAAGATTATATACTGCAAAAGCTTAGAGAACAGATAAGCAGATGCTTTCAGCAGAAGATCAGACCATCGAAATGCAGATTCTTCGGATATATAGAATATCTTCGCTCAAGATGAATCAGAAAACCTTATCAATATGTACAAAGAACTGAATGCTGCTCTTAGAATCGGATTCTTGGAAAAAGATTCAGAATTAATAATTCCAGATGAATAAGATAGCTATATCAGAGATATATATAGTATATCAGCATATAAATATCAAGAAATTAAAGCAATCTATAAATGCATTAAGAGATACTAAAATCTATCAAGCTTTAGAAAAAGAATTAAGAATATCCTACAATAATGCAATAGCTACAAGAAGAATAAAGCAGAAAAATATAAGCTTTACAAACTACTATACCCCTTACTAATACTTACAACTATTTAGCAATTCATCAGTCTAAACTTTATTATTAAGCTATCTTTCTTACAAGAACTCTTAACTAAGATACAATATAATAGCATCTTAGTAATGATTTGCAAACTGAGCAAGTATACTTATTTTCTCTTCTATAAGGAAAGCAATATAGCAGAAGAACTTGCATATATATTTCTTAGAATAATCATTGCTAACTACAGCATATTAGAAGAAGTAATCTCTAATAGAAACAGAAAGTTCAATTCAAAGTTTTGAACTTTACTTATAAAATAGCTTGAAATATATTACAGAATATTCATAGCATTCTATCTGCAAATAGATAAACAGATAGAAAGAATGAATCAGATTATTAAACAATATCTTCAATACTATATTAATCAGAAACAGAATAATTGGATTAATCTGTTACCTCTTATACAGTTTGCTTATAATAGCATAAATATAAGCATAATAAAGAAATCATTATTCTTTATACTCTACAGATATAATCCAACAGCTTATTACGAAGCATTACTGGAAGCAGATGCAGAAGCTGTGAATAAAAGGATTAAAAAGATTAAGAAAGTTCAGAAGAAACTCTGATCAGAACTACGATTCATCCAGAAACGAATATTACAATATGCAAACTCTAAGAGAATTGAGAAACTAATTCTGCAAAAGGGAGATAAGATTTATCTACTTCGGAAAAATATTAAAATAACTAGATTCAGCAATAAGCTTAATTATAAGAAGTTAGAATTATTCAAAATCTTGCAATAGATTTCTCTGATTAACTATGAGTTAGTACTACTTTATGGAATAAGAATATATTCAGTTTTCCATATCTTACTGCTAGAATCAGCAGCACAGGAAATATTAGCGAATAATATAGCAGAAGTAGAAAATAACAAATCAGAGTATAAGGTGGAAAAGATTCTCAAGCATAGAAGCATGAATAGCATGAGGGAATACCTTATCAAATGAAAGAATTACTTAACGAGCGAAAATTCATGGGAACTACAGAAAAACATTAAGAATGCTCAAGAAAGAGTAGCTGAATATTGGAAAAGAAAAGCTAGCACCTAAGACAATCGCTCCACCCCGGAGCAAAACTCAGAAGCCTCGGAAATCTCACTCTCCAGGAAACCCAACTAATCCATCACTGCATTCCTCACATCCACAGAATTCCAGTCAAAACCCTCAAAAGAAGAATCTCCAGCAACTACAGCAGATTTCTCTGCAACTACAGAACAAACCCCAGCAACAACGCAAGCTCACTCCTTCTCAGCTTTCTTACATTCCAACTTCTCTATACTGGAAAGGCCTCAATAAATAGCTTTCATTATCCTCTTAAACTACAAACGCTTCTGCTTCTGCAAACATTCTATCTCTGCAGCAGCATTGTGCAGCTGCTTCTTAGCACTCTCGAGTTGGTTCTCCAGGCATTAGTGTTGAATGCTTATCCAACGAATTTCCGCTGCACTCAATCCTTGAATATTATACTAAGAGCAATCCAGGCAGATATATTCAGCATAGCAAGAGGAATTCTCGATGGAGACTTGATAAGACTGAATACTACAATTCTTATAGAAGGAACAAGAAGGCATAGTAATAGCATTTTGAAGAATTAAGGAAAGAAGAGAATTCTTTTGTTTAGTCTTCTCAGTACGAGAACGAGATTTGTTAATTCTGTTCAACATCTTGATTAGAAAGGCAAGATCACGAATATGAAAACTTGCTAGAATACTTATAGAAGATTATTAGAAATAATGACTAATAGAAGGGAGATGATATTATAATCTATTCAACATGCAGGTTACAAAACAGATTACAAGTAACAGAGATCAGATATTAAGAACTTAATATCCTAACAAAATACTAATTATATAATCCAGGATTAGGATTATGAGCACAGTTAATCAGGAAGAATAGCTTCGAATATATGCTATTCAGAGCTAGCAGAATAATTTGAATATGTTGCTATTCAACATATTCATACTAAAGAGCTGAATATATAAGAATATATTCATTATCATTAGATAGATTCAGTACATAGCTCTTCAGTTGTCAATCTAAGTATCAGATTACTCTCTACTCTGATAGCTCCAAAGGCAGTGAATACTTGCATTGCTTACTGAGACTTGTACAGTTCCGTATTCAGAGACTTGGCACTTTGATACCGCTCTTGTTAGCATAAACCCCTTTGTGTACTTAGGAATCTTCGGATTGCTGCAGTGCTCATTACATAGATCTATACGGGAAAAACCTCGAAATCAGGCCCTTAAGCACTCGGTTCAGCTCGGAGCGAATGCTTAAAGCTCTCAAAAACGCTACCAAAAACAACAAATGAAAAGAAGTATGCTTAACAATACCTACTATTTCTCCAGATAGCAGAAACAGTATAAGGATTGGAACTAATACTTGCGAACATACTACGAGAATATTACAAATTCAAGAAACTATTCTAGGAAGAATTGAATACAGGATTATCAGAATATAGCTTATACAACTACGAAATCCTGCTATAAGAAGAGAAATAGCTCAAATTCTTTCCTATCTATAGATTAGACAAGATATAGCTAGAAGCACTTCGAGAGTATCTTAACAAAAATCTTAAGAAAGAATATATATAATTATTGCAATTACTAGCAGAATATCTCATTTTGTTTGTATCTAAGAAAAATAGCAAGCTTAAGCTATATATTAATTATAAGCAACTCAATAATATTACAATCAAGAACTGATATCTGTTGCTATTTATTAAGGAATTATGAGATAGATTGTAAGGAGTATAATAGTTTACAATTCTGAATCTGAAAGAAGCTTATAATCTAATTAGAATAAAGAAAGAAGAAGAATGGAAAACTGCTTTCAGAATATGCTATGAATACTGAACCAGAACTAGGGCGCCGTCGCCCTCGAAAGAAAAAGGGACAAACAGCTGCCGAAGCAATGGGCAAGGGCTCATGCAACCCAAGCGTGCCTGTACAGATGAGGACAGCAAACTAAGGCCACACGGGCACAAGAACAGGGTGAAAAACCTGTCTTAGACCTGTCCAAGGGGTTCAAAAATTGAAAAGAAGAGAAAAGGATGCTTGATTGTTGCTTATAGCTAAAGAATTTGAAAAGTGGGTGGTATCCTTTATATGTATGAGGACCCTTGACCCACTGTACTCCATGTCCCACGGACTACCACCCTGGCCACCACAACAGTCCTCCCCCAGCAACTTTCTTCCAAAGTTGCGACAAGTCCAATGGTGTGCCAGGTCTGGTCAGATAGAAAGGAAAAGAAAGAACTAAAGAATCCATCGCAAGCTGTCGAAGGAAGCACTGCAACCCAAACCATTTCGCAATCCGACCTCTGCACCCAGTTTGATTGTCTGAGTCCTCACTCAAGTCAACGCAGTATTACCAATATCCGCCCATGATCTGTTTGCAGCGCGGGCGCAATCTGGATACATCCTAATGTCGACCTTCCCTTCGTCCCTGTCTGTTCTCGAACTCCGCCCGGGCAGCAGCAGTAGCAGTGGCCCTCTCTCTATTCTGAACCACCGTCCGTTCAATCCTTTCACAGTCTGCTCTCCACACATCCATCCTGATAGCATGCTCGAATCCTGTCCAATTCTCAAGACCTACTGAGGGTCTGACAGGAGCAAGACTATGGAGCTCACTCCACAAAGGCACATGAGGTTGCCGAGGTCTGTCAGGAAGATTAGAACGCATGATATTGCTGCTTCTCAATCTTCGGTGCAATGGAACATCAGTAGTCTGACCAGGCCTGGCCGTTTGCTGCATTGACAGCTGGATTGTTGCTCCTGGACCGGCTGGCGATCTTCGAGGTGAGCTGGCATAGGGGTCGGAAGGAGTTCTTTTAGGTTGCGGCGTTCTTCAACGCTTTGCATTTTCATGCCTTGCATTCCAATACATTGCGTTTCTGCAGCTGCGGTCTTCATAGTGAAATGGTCTCAGAGCTGGTCAACATGCTCTGTACCGGGTGCTTTTAAAATTTGGGTGATTTTATAGTATTCTGTAGTGGGTGGTAGCAGACGACACTTCGTCCCTCCTCCCCCAGCAAAACACACGAGATAACATAGGAAAGACAAAAGGAAAACGTGTTTTGCGAACCAAAGGAAATATGGATAGAAAGAAATCAGCCTCCCCCACGAGCCAAGAAGGCAGACTTGGTCGGAATTGTTATAAACATCCCGCTTCTATCCGCTTTCTCCTGTTCTCGCTTCTCTTTCTCCCTTGCCCGTGTAAGACGTCCGTCGTCTCCACCATTATTTTCTTCCCTGACATTATCATCGGTCTCGGTTGTCAGATCTATGTCTCCTGGGTTTGGACTTGGTTGACCAGGTATAGGATCATGGCCAATGATATCTGGGACCCAGAATGTAGTGTCGTCGCTCATGTCCATCTCCCGAACCTCGAGGGTGTTGTTGTCTGGTTCACCCCGCCAAGGAGCTCGCATAAGCAGTGCTCATCTGCAAAGAGTTTGTGCTCCCTTGAAGGGGATTCCTTGCAGAGATGGTTTGGGGGCGCCTGATCAGCTGTGAGATCTCCCGCAGAGCCTTGGTCTGATCGTATGAGACATCCCGGGTTTGTCTGAGAGTCTCAGATTGCAGTCTCAAAGAGTGAGCCATTGCAATCTGATCGATGCGAAGTTGCTCCATCAGAGATGCCAAGTGGTTCAACCCCTGCTCGGGCTTCTGGACAGATTCGGGCTTCAGGATCTGTTTAGTTGCTTCAGGCTGGCCTTGCCATTCGCCGGTTGAGTGCTGAGGAGGTTGGTAGTGCAATGGTCCCCCCAGTTTGCCCAACCTGAGCTGGCGGGTGATTGGGGAAACCATGAGTCGGCTGAGAAACAAGCACAGGTCGCGCCTGGTCAGGAATCGGTTGAGGTGGTGGCACCAAAGGAGCTTGGAATTGCGCCTGCTGATGGAGTTGAGGATTTGCAGCGCCAGATGCAAGCTAGTCTTGAGTCTCCTCCTTCTCAGCGGTAATACCGTGGTCAGCTCGAAGACGCTTGATCCAAGTCGAGAGGAGTTTCATCCAAGCCTCAGCAATAGGCTGAGTATCCCTGATCTTGAGACGGGTAAGAGCGTTGTTATAGTCAACAACGAATGACCACAAGCTCGCAGCATCAGTAATGAAACGGTTGTTGATGATGTTCAGCCGCTCCTGCTCAGGTGTGTATGCTTGGAGATGATCCCAGGGCTGATATGCAACCAACAGTCGGTCCTTCTGTTCGCCCCATGTCTTGGCACTCGTGGTATATCTCTCTACTTTCCCAGCAACGACTGCATCTGAACAGAAGCCTTTCATGAAGTTGAGCGCCTGAGTGTCGTCAATGCCTTTGATTTGACGCCACCAGTCGAAACGCTTCAGCCATGATGAGACTTCCATCCGAGAAAACAGTGTCAAGCTGCCACCAGCGAGTTCGCTATGGGAAGGGAACCGGAAGTTAGATCCATACTGTCCACTCGCAGAGGAACCAAACGAGCTCGGGGTTGGGTCAGGAGACTTGTCAGATGAAGAAGCTATCCTTTTTCCTGGTTGTCGCTTCCCTCGATGTTTCTTTGGCTTTCTGGTTCGAGATCCTTGAGTTGAGGGCGCCACAGCCGGAATGCCTTCCGTATCCTGCGGAAGACAATACTGTGGAGGTCGAGGGGGTTCAGGTGCTTGAGGGAGGTTCAGTCTGTGAGTGGAGCGTGCATGAGGTCTGTCTTGTGATGAACAACAAGGGATTGAGTTGGCTGTTCTGTGCTGCACTGGGATTTCCTTTATCAATAGTCCTGCCAACCAATGGAGGCATTTCTGACCAGGTGTAAGGCGTCGATTAAAGTTCGACATCGGATGATGTCGTCGTAATCCTCGACCTCTATTCCTCGTGTGCACTGACGGTTCCTCATCTTCACCTCCCTGTGTCCTTCGCTTTTGGGATAATGCAACCAGCAAGCTTTTGATCCAAAGGATCAATGTGGCCAGACGTGTCCAGGTAGAGCGTGCTGATCGGACCATCGCAAGGAGCACAGACCTTGTTAACCATGCCACTTTTCTCCACAGAGTACCATCCACCAAAAGCATCCCACTCTGTAATTTAACCATGGACCCACATCCGACATGGTTAAACTTTCCGCCGCAGCCTGTACAGGTCTGAGCTGTATCAGCTTCTGTGTAGGATCGTTGATTGATGTGGGAAATGTTGGAAAAAGGAATTCGTTTCTTCGTAATATTGGCCCGCGGGCTCAACGCATCGTTCACCAGCCCACGACCAGAACTCACACCACTCCTCCTCTGTCCACCCATCTCCCCTTTACGAGAGGTCTCAGGCATGACCCAGAGTCCAGACATGATGCACAGCCTGTCGTGTAAGCGTGATAGATAAAGGAAAATAAAAGAGCTCAGCAGGGAAAAAGAGTGCGCCCGTCCATAGGGTAAACTTGCTGCTCTTACTGATCCTCACGAACTGTGACGCAAACAGCCCTGAGCTACCAGCCTGAACAGCTAAGTCCACACTCACCGCACCATTGAACCAGAACTAGGGCGCCGTCGCCCTCGAAAGAAAAAGGGACAAACAGCTGCCGAAGCAATGGGCAAGGGCTCATGCAACCCAAGCGTGCCTGTACAGATGAGGACAGCAAACTAAGGCCACACGGGCACAAGAACAGGGTGAAAAACCTGTCTTAGACCTGTCCAA